AAATAATTCAAGGATGAGAGTTAGGTTGACCACTTTAATATGTTTTGTTTGGTACCATAGTAAGATGGAAGAATTGGAAGAATAGACAGGATGAAAAGTTATAAGGATTGAAAATTGGAGGCATAGATAAAATATGGTAAGGAAAAGAAATAATAAGGATGAAAAAGTGGATTGATAATTTTTTTTTTTAACTGTTTAAAATTAATTTTTGAATTGAAAATTGAAGGGATAGATAAAATATAATAAGAAAAAAAAATAAAAAAGATAAAAAAGTGGATTTATAAGTTTTTGTTTTTAACTACTTAAAATTAATTTTTCTAAAATTAGGAGAAAAAGTTGATGAAAAATTAATTATGTTTGTTGAAATATATGCTATTTGTAGAGGCGATCCATTAATTGGGGTCTAGATGAAATATTTAAAGAGTTAAGTGTTTACTTAGTTTGGCATATGGGTCGTGTTTTCTTTTAAATGTAATAACTTTGATTAATGTAATCATGTTTTCTTGAAAGAGTTAAAGTCATTGACACTAAAATTATGTTCTCTTTCAAGTTTAGTGGTGGCATTGTTACAGAATTCAAGTTTCTCTTAGATAGTGCATTGGACACCAGAATCATGCTTTCAATAAAATTTAGTGCAATTGATGTGTAATAATGTTTTCTTGTACAGTTGTCGTCTTTTCTTACCCAAGAATTGAGTGCACGGTGTAGTTGAATCATGTTTTGTCTCAAGTTTAAGCATTTGACGCATGATTCTTCTTTTTCTGCCAATATTATAGTGCATGTTGATGTCCTAATCATGTTTTGTTTAAGAACTAGGGTCCTAGACATCAAAATCTTGTTTACTCCAATAATTAGTGTCATTAACACTCGAATTATGTTTTCTTTAAGGCTAGAAACCATGTTTTTCTTCGGAATTAGTGCATTGCACACTTGTGTGTTTCACACCCGAATAGTGTGAAATATTTACCCAATAAAATGAAATCAAGTTTTCCCTTAGAATAAGAGTGTTTCACAATAGAATGAGATTCTCCTTAAAGGTTTTTATTTTTTGATAACAAAATTGACAACAGATAAGATTTTATCACCTTATAATTAAAAATAATTTTTTCAAGTAGAATAAGCTATTAATGACATTTTTTTATAATANTTTATAATTAAAAATACTTTTTTCAAGTAGAATAAGCTATTAATGACATTTTTTTTATAATATTTAATAAGTAATGGAGGCATTTGAAAAAGAATTTAATTGTTTAATATATTATTTCTTATGGTTTCTAATCCTAAAAATAAATTAATCTACAAAATAAGTTATGCTTTAAAAAAATTTCAAGGTGAAGGGCATATTTTTTTTCAAAACTTTCATCACATAAATAATTTAATTTTTCAAAACAAAATTAAGAGTCAAAAACTTTTTTTCTATTTTTAATGCCAATTCAGTAACTCTAAGTGTTGCGTCGGCAAATCTTATAGTAAACTCACCATAAGCTGTTGGAATCCAGGCCATTTTGTCCTCACATGGAAATGAGGGAAGCTGAAGCTTGAGGATGCCTTGCATAGTGCATTGATCAAAAAGAAATGCTAGGCGGTTTAAGTTCCAGGAAGTTCCATCCGGATTTTATCAATTCTGCCACGGTGATGGGGAGGGACTCTACTTCTATAAGGATGACCTTGAAATGAGGGAGATTGTTAGGAAGTTGTCAGTACAGTCATACAATTACAACTGAAGTAGTAACTATAAAAACTGAGAATTTTGTAAAAAGATAACAAAAGGATTTACAATAATTTCTCTCTAACAAAGAAAAGACTATGAGTATTTAGGAGAACCCTCACTCTTTCTCTCAAACACTCTCTCTTGTTCTCTCTCTTTATTTCTTCTCTATCNAAAAGACTATGAGTATTTAGGAGAATCCTCACTCTTTCTCTCAAACACTCTCTCTTGTTCTCTCTCTTTATTTCTTCTCTATCTTTATTTCTTCTCTAAATGGGACACCCAATGACTCAAAACACTTTTAGAATTTAAAGGACACTCCTAT